TCTCATCACCTTTCCCCTCTCCTCACCTTTCCAACATCAAAGATGGTGCAGGTGTTCCTAATGAACTGCTCGTGGGCGTGTGTTTTCACTGTGAAGGCGTCTGTCGGATTTACAGACAGCGAGAGGAATTCTGGGAGTTTCCTCGGAGCTGATTTCAGGCCTCGTTATTTTCTGTTCCACAGCTTAGTCTAAAACGTAACGGCGAGCTCGACGCACATCTTTATTTACATCTACCTTCGATTAGCACGCCTGTCATCAGAAGCCTTACGTACACCTCACACCTTTAATCGGCGTCACTGCGTGGGAGCGTGCGGCACTTACCAGTGACAGCGTGAGCTTGCTGCCGCTCCGCAGCACCTTGTTCAGGTCGCTCATCTGGATGTCGTCCCAGGAGATCCTCCAGAGCTGAGCTACCAGCTCCTTCTCCAGCTTCATCCTCCTGCAGCACAAACACTCTTCTTCAGTGACTCACCTTCATCTTCCTCCAGGTGAAGCTCAAAGACGGTCAGACACAGTCTGTCTGACTACAGTTCGCACGCGCTCAGTAGCACCAACTCATTCTAGATCCTTCTTCTCTGAGTGCACCAAAGAACCTGATCGTGTGGTGATGTAGCACGATCACGCCACATGCTACTGCCCTCACATGACCACGTGGTGGAACTGCAGCAGCTCTCACCTGTAGATGAAGATGGCGATGGTCAGGATCAAGATGAAGAAGAAGACGACCACGATGGAGACCATCTGGTAGATGGTGATGGTCTCTGACAGAGAGAGGAGGAGAAGACTGTTATTAACCCACAGACACACTATGTGATCTCACTTGAGTTTACCGTGGGAGAAGATGACGCTGTTGTGGAGGAAAAGCATGCCCTGCAGACACAGAGGAGGACAGCACAGGTAACACCACCTGCAGGTAACTTATTACTGTTGCCATCATCCAATCACACACCGGGGACCCCAAAGCTCTCTAGCTTCTCTGTCCTCGTTAACCTGCTCGCTTCCTCCTCGTACTTTCACTTTAGTGAGTCCCACATTGACTCCCTGAAACCGTTAACGAGCTTCAGTCCAGGAAGCAGGAACGTAACGCAGCAGAGACTCTGCAGGAAATGCAAACGTACCTTTACGATGTC